TCAGAGGAGGCAGGAGGCGGTGCTATTTTCAAACCTTGCTAGCTCTCTCGCTAGCTTTCCAAGATTACCAACCCCAGCTTAAATCTAATATTCACTCTCCTTTTAGCTTTGTTTCTTCTCAGACTGAATTCTGAAAAAAGATATATGCTTTTTATGATAATGAATCTGGAAAAAAACAATGTATCCTGTTAAGCAAATATCTTAACGCTTAAATGTTTTGAAAGTAATTAAATTACTTCTTTTGCACTTATTGAAACTATTGCACCACTTAAATAAAAACATGGTTGCAAGATCAATTTTATTGATTTAGATAAACTTTTAAGTTGCAAGCATTACTTTGATGATTGTGTTGATCATAAATAACATGGAAAAACTAGTAGGAAACACATACATTGTTATGACAAGCCTAACTACTTAATACCTCTTATTAGCACTGTTTGTGCTAAGTAAGAGGTATTAAAAAATGTATTTGATTGTAGAGGAAAAGCTAATTCTCCTAACTCAATGTAGTGCATATGCTAAATAATTTCATTAGAAGTTGCCATAATTTCAAAAAAGATTGATGCAAACTGTTTCGTTTACTTTGTTTTTGTTGCACCAAAACATTTTTTTTTAGAATGTAATTGGTAAACTTTGTGTACTTGTATCAAGAGTGTAGAGTAACTTTTGTTGACATATGCTGGCATTAACTATGATAATAGCCCTGTTATGTTGCCAGAAACTTCTTCATGATGGACCCAAACACAAAATACATGAGAAGAAGATATACTTCATTATTAACCAATGGTAAAACAAAGTTGTAGTTTTAGTTTTGCCATTGTTGGACCAATATTGCACTGTATGTATGAATAGATGAAAAATGTTGCTGACATCCCTTTATATGTCCTGTTCTATTCAGTAACGAAGTATAACATAAAACTGTGGGGAAGCCATCGTTGATCTTAGGCATTGGACCAGGTCAAGGAATCGGTTCACTCCAGACTACTGCTGTCAGAACATAAAGCTTAAAAGGGCAATGGATTACGATTTTTCGTGGCCCCATAGCACATGATGACCTAATATATCTGCGGGCTTGACAGGGTTGTTGATCAATACCAGTGACTTAATGATTACTTGGCCGGTGCAGAAAACTTTGGCTTTCACTTTCAAGGCATTTTCTTTTCTGAAGCAAAACTGAAAGCTCCCACTGCAGACGGATCAATAGAGTCACACATTATTTAATGCTCTTTAAATAAGACAGCAGGTAAATACACTGACTATGAGGCTAAAATGGCAAACCTTAAACCTGTCTGCAAACAAGTTTAAAATCATGCCTACTGCTCATAGAGGCTAAAACATTCTTTATTTTACACAACAAGATGATCCTGCTATCCTGTAGTTACTAGATAATGAGACTGAATTGTAGAGGTGTTGACTCGAGTCCGATTGAGTCACAAATTTGATAACTTCAGACTCAACTTTATAAAATCAAAAAACAACTCAACTTGAACTTAAAACCAATGGACTTGTCACTTCACTTGGAGTAAAAGTGTGCCACAAATCAATTAATTCCTGAATCAACTAACGCTAACGTTATTAATTCCCAGCAAGTTGAGCTTCCTACTTTTGACACTGTTGTTAAAATGTCATTACATTTTGTGAAGATTGTTGTTGTTGAATTCTTTAGGACTCGAAACTCAAAGTTAAGGACTTAGGAGTTGTGGCTCAACTTGGGACTTGAGTGCACAGACTTGCAACTTAAAACAATCACTTGCCCCACCTCTGTTGAATTGCCTTTTTTTTAATCTATCCTTGTGCTACTCTGATCTTGGTTTTCTGGTCTGGCTTGTAAATGACTGTAGGATTATGTGGCCTTCTCCTTGTCAGACGCACCTGCCTGAGTTTAAATTATGGTTTGTTGTTTTTGTATATGCAGGAAATTTAAGTCAGCACACCAAAAGCTGATACAAGAAGTCACAGTGTCAGTGAATCCATCCAGGTGTGTAGCTGAGCCTCAAAAACAGTCCAATCAGTGCAATGTAATTGCAGCTTTGCCTTGTTGGTCCATCCCTCACAGTCTCCAACCACAGGCTGAGCTGATTTTAGTTTCTGCCTAAGGGGAGATGGCTATTTTCAAACCTTGCTAGCTCTCTCACTAGCTTACCCAGCTTTAACACAGATCAGACCGGATGGATCCGGCTCTTCAGAAACTCTGAGCAAGGACTCACCACTGTAACAGAGGAAGGGGTGTTTATCATCGCATTGCTTGCTGTGCCAGCCAGCTGAGTCCACCATCACGCAGTCGTCTTTCTCTTTGGGCTGGTCAGACGCCCACTGCCTGTAGTACCCACCGCTCCCATCAGACCACATCCACAGCCGTCTGTACAAACCGAACCAGGCGAGATCCTCACTGTCATCGTCACTGTCATTATCAGAGTCAGTCGTACTCTGCAGCAGACTGGAGATCTGCTTGTTCTCCTCCTTACTGCTGATGCTGCTCAGGTCTGTGTAGTTTGTCCTGCAGTACGTCTGACCCTCTGACCAGGTCATCAGCTGCTTCACCAGGATGTGTTTGTCATATTCAGCTGAAAAGGTGAATATCAGACGAAGGATTATTCACTTTAAATAAACTTTTTTCACGTTAGAATCCTGCAGATATTTTCAGTCAGAACAGAACCGACAACCTGACAGGTCGGTTACCTGCCTCAGTGCCAGGCAGTGACCTTACAGGGCTTTCATACATAAAGCAGACACATTAAAGAGGTTCTTATATGACTGTACTGTGACAATATCACTGCTGCTGGTCATGTTCAACTCGCCCTCTACTGTTTTAATTCTGCCTGAACCCTGTGAGTCCAGTGCTGACACAGAGTGGACAGTCTGAGATGTTTCTATAAAACCAGAGTTTCGTATTATTGCCCAGGAGGTCAACAAGTGTTAACATGGCTGCACTCTTATACAGATGCTCATCGCTGAGGTAAACTCTGTCCTCTGCATACGTTTCATTTCCATCTTCACGTGTCACTGCTCTGACTTTCTGCCCAAAGAGAAACCAAACTGAAAACCCATCAGACTCACCACTGTAACACATCACGTGATGTTCAACTCCACAGTCTATGGCAGACCACTCCCCAAGTCCAGATATGATCACACACTCCTTGAACCTCGGTTCTTTGTCAGCCCAGTTGGTGA